TGATGTCTGGACGAAGTCTAGTATACAATGCATGCAACTTGGAAAAATCATCCAATTCGTTCTCACATTTGAGAAACATTTGTTCCAAGAGCTGCATGTATTTAATCATATCGGGACCCGATATCCCTGCTTTTGTAAAGGCTGCTATTTCCGACCGAATTTCGAAGTCGGAACATTTGTGATCATAAAGTGTCTCCATGCCATATTTAAACTATTCCCATGACAGTTGAAAGTCTGGCTGCGAGAGCACTTCTGCGTCAATTGTTATCCCCCATATATGCCCTAACTGGGCTAGTAGGCCATGTTTCACTGACTCTTCCAAAGTGTTCAGTGCTATCCATCCCCATTGTGTCCGGGGTGCCATAGTGGTTTTGAAATACATGATGATTTCCTGTAACCACTTGGTTAAGGCCTGTTTGTCTTCATTCCATTTAGGGGGTTTCATGCCCTGACTGTTCATCTTAGGCATGTTCATGCTCACCTGAGCTTCCCTTCCGGGTTGATAATACACTGGCGCATAAGGTACTTCTTGCTCCACTGCCAAATAGGCTTGTCCGGTATAACCCGGTCCTAGGGGATCGTACCCCTCCGGAGGCGGGGGAGGCCCCATGTCCGCCCGATGTGGCTCAACAGCCTCAGCCGCCTCTACTCCAAACAGGAACTCCTCAGCTGGAGGCTCCTGGATCTGGAAATGGCTGGGCGGATAATCGTACACCCTCGCATAACCTCCCGATCCCTCAGGATGGGATGGTCCACCGTATACGGGTGCTGGAAACTCCTCTTGCCTTGGGGCGATCTCCGCCTGCGGGGTTCTTCCGGACTGATGTGCCCTCCCGGGCTGAGCTGTCACTCCTGGCTGAGTGGCCATCCCTGGTTGTGTTGCCATCCCTGGCTGATAATACTGAATTGGCGGGTACGTAGCAGGCTCTGGCGCAAATGGAGACATCTCCTGCAGCCTCTGAATCTTCTGCTGCGTCGTTTGCACTGGAGGCTGTGTCACCCGCTCTCCAGCCTGCCCCATTATATAAGGCCTCACCGGTTGTCTTGGCGCCAATTCAGGCTGAGCCACTAGACGAACCGGTGTGGAGGGACCTGTCTGCATCGATGGTCCCGGGGGCATTTGAATCGGTCCCTCTTCAGGGACTTTGCGGCCAGTTCTTTGGATGGCCTGCCACTCCGTGGCTGCTTCATGACCCTCTGGCATATATATGCCCAGTGCCGACTGCTGAGCATCAAAGAGGCCTCGCAGTTTCACTGGTATACGTTGGAGGGCGTCCCGTGGGACTTGTGCACGATAGGGGGCATGGCCCCCTCGGGGGTGATAATACCCCTTAAAGTACACCCCCCCATGAGGGTCATGGAATGCACCCAATGTATCCCAGAATCCCCTCCTGTCCTGAATGACAGGGGTATGTATTACTGGGGTTGATCTGGGAACTTCGTGCGGCACCTTTGCCCGACCACGTTGTTCTGCCGCCATTTGTTGGGCACGGCGTTCCTGGTAGCCAGGTCCCAGCAGCACCGATTTGTACTGCAGTTCTTGCCATCCCTTTGAGGTCTGCTTCACCTCTTGTAGTTCCAGATATGCTGCATAGTCTTCATCCCCCATCAAGGAACGAAGCTGCGCAGCTTTCTCTGTATCCGCCTTTGCTTGCTGCAAAGCGGCTTCCTGCTTTTGCAGGACCTCATAGGTCTCCCGTCTTTCCCGGGGAATTGGACTGGCAGGTTCACCTGTTGAACCGAGATACACAATCTCATCGTTACCAGTAGAATCACCAACTTCTGCACGGTTACGCAACTGTGTATTCTTAACAGGTTCTAGCAAGGGCAATTCAACAGGAATATCACCTGTGGCTGGTCTTTGTAGGCTTTTGGATCTCTCCTTTGCCTTTTCAGGCTGATCTCTTGCCTTCATAGGCGGGTCTTTCTCCTCTGCAGGCGAATCCTTCGCCTTTGCCTTTTCAGGCTGGGACTCCTTCCCTGGCGTCTCCTCCGCCTTGGGACCGCTGGTCACCACAACCGATGGCGACGCCTGTTCCGGTTGGGTGGAGACAAAGCGGGCAGGGTGGTTTACACCACTGTCACTGCCGCTACTGTCCTGCTGATCGGCCCAGCGTTTGGAGGTCCCCTCCTTTATAGCAATGCGGGCGAAGGCCTTGGCCTGCTCGGCCGGGTCCAGCTCATCGGCCGGCGGCTTAACCTCTAGGCGTTGCGCCTTTTGGTTGCCTCCTGCGGAGAAAAGCCGCTTGATCTCAACCTTGCGCTGGCGTTTGTGAGCTCATTTACGCTCATACTTTTTGGGATTCAATTGACGATCCCGCTCACGCCGCAACGCTTTCAGCTCTCTCCGTTGTTTAGCCTTTCTGGCCTTTTGCTTGTCCAATTTCTTGGCACGAGCGAACCGATCTCGGTTCCGAATGCGTCGTCTCTCTTTCTCCATTCTGTGCACTTGTGCGCGGGTGGACATGTCCCCCGGCATTGGAGATGCACAGGATGAGAGCGACAATTCCGAGATCTCCTCCCACCGTTCGTGGGGATCATTGGGGTCCGGTCTCTCTAGACTCCCCTCGCTCAAATCCCATGGTTCTGGGATATGTCTGAGCGCGAAGGCCATTTTTTCTGGCCAATTTGGGCCCTCTTTGGCAATCTGATCTGCCATACCAGGACTATACCACCTTTGTATTTTCACCAGTCTTGCGGTGGTTAACCTTTCTCCAAATTGGTCAGCGGCCATCTGCCACCCTTTGTCAAGCTCATCGACGAGATTGCTGTGGAACTTTGTCCACATTGCACGGCACGGTGGTTGCCGGCTATACGGATCTCGAGTGTCTGGAACGAATTCCAGCACCCTTGAGCTTTCACCAGGCCCCCATTCCGGCAATGCTGGCCTCCGGGGGCTCCAGTTGTGGCCTCCCGGCCTTGGCGGACTTTTTCCGCATACAGCTTGAGCGCTTTCTGTGAGCGACTCTTCTCCCATCCCGTCCGATCCACTAGGTGTTCTAATATGCACCTGGGATTTGAGCCGCAGCTCCGGGATCTTGGCCTTCCGGCCTTGTATTTTCTCAATTCGCCCTAAGGCTTTGGCCTCCCGGCCTTTGTATGGAGATTCCTCACGTCCCATCGGCCGCTCACCTGGCTTTGGGCTCTTCCGCTTTGGCCGTTGTCTACCGGCAACCTTCCAGTCGCCCTCGGCTTCTGGAATGGTTGGCATGGGTAGTTCCGATGGGCTGGGGGCCCTCACGGCCTGCGCCGCCTGTTGGGCGCTTCTCTCTTCTGCCTCCTGGGCCCATTGTTTTTGCTTCAGGAGGCGGTCGCTCAACGCCTTGACTTGGTCTTCGGCGGAGGTTTTGGCTTCTTGTGCCTCGCGGCTTTGCTGCTTCGCCTTCTTCATGGCCACCTCTATTTTCCGAGCTTCTTTCTTGGCCTTGTTGACGGCGATTTCCAGCGAGGCAATTCTCTCCGCGGTGTCTTCGTCCCGCTTCTCCCTCGCCTTCTTGGCAGCAGCATCCGCCACTTGTTCCAAGAGCTCTATGATACCAGGGGTCTGCAGCAGCGCCGCCATGGTCCCCTGATCTTGCTCTTGCTTCTTCTCTGCCGCCGGTGGGGCACTCGCTTCCCCCATCGGTTCATCTTCCCTTACGGGTGGCGAAGTGGCTGTGGAGGGTCCAGCCATGTCCTCCCGGACTTTTACTCCTCCTTGCCCATCCCGGGCTTGAACTTCACCAACCGAGGTGGGTGTCCCCTCCCGGGGTGTACTAATCTCACCCGACGTATCGGGGGTACCCTTGCGGGCAGAAGTGTCTGATTCCTCGGCCTCCATTGCGGAGACCGGGGAGGGAGCCCGCCGCTCCGAACTTGCGCGTCCGCCCAGGCGGAAGCATGGTAGCCACCCTCAGGTGGCTCCGAAACCAAATGATACGAAAAGTCTGTGGGTGTGGGGTTCCTGCCCTCTTTGAGCCGCGGACCCGCCTCGCCGGGCACCTAGGTCCTTACGGGGACCTAGGCGGGACCACCCCTCCTACTCCCATATCCATATAAGTATAATGGTTACTGTAGGACAAGGAATATAATATGATCTTGGGCAGGGCGTCCCCTACACCAAGGGCCAGTAGTAGGGCGTCCCCCACCTCAGGCCGGTGCGCGTAACACATATGCATGATTTTGGAGCCTTTATCAATTGATCGAGAAACCTTACGTATCTTGGCGAGTAGGAGACCATGTAGGTGGGTCCTTTCAGCCCTTTACAATCTTGCCAAATGCAACAATTCAAATGCCTGTCATGGTCGTTGCGTGCGCGTGCGCAACGACCAAATGGGAAGATAGGAATGCTCCACGTTCCATAAACACGACCGGCCCTCTGCGCCGCATTGCGCACCGAAGCTCCCTCGTCAGCTCCCGCCAAGTTAACCGAACGGGCAGCATCGCCTTTTGTGCATCTGCTTGCCCGGAGCCTACACACGAAGCCAGCGCTGTGGCTCCGCCGCCCGCAGCCGAAGCAACCAGGGCCACAACCCGCCGGCTGAACAAAGTACCAGCACTTTTGTCCCCAGGCCGCCAGTACTTCGCCCAAGACTCGCCGGTGTGCTGATTGGTGCCCAGGTTTCGCGGCCCCCATAATCCACCAAACCGCCAAGTTTGACTGAGCAGATGAAGTCCGCGGCACGGCGGCCCACCCTTCCGCCCATGGCCCGCGACCGCCTGACCTGCTGACAGCTGGGCCTCTATTTAGCAACCTTTGTCGCCGCTGCGGCCCCCGAGACGGCGCCAAGGGGCACCCTCCTCTCCGGGTGCCCAGCCAGGCCGGGCCTCGAGCCCCCACGCCCCACCCCGATCCCATAGCCTGCGCCTCACGGTGAAGGGCCGGACCACCCGCGGCCAACACCAACTTGAGCCGTGCCACGGCAACAGCATCAAAGGGGCCGGATCCAATCCAGCAATCGGCGCGGCTCATATCCGGGGAGTCCGATCGGCGGACAGCGCAGGCGAGGAGGGGGTGAGAGATGGTGCGCGAGATTGGAGGGGCATGCGGGGAGCCTAAGGCCCGGCGCTTTCCAGCCGGGTTCGCCTGGGGCTCGGCGACGTCGGCGTACCAGGTGGAGGGCGGCTGGACGGAGGGCGGCAAGGGACGCAGCATCTGGGACAGCTTCGCCCACACGGCGGGCAAGATCGCAGACGGCAGTGATGGCGACATGGCGGACGACCAGTACCACAGGTTTGCGGAGGACGTGCGGCTGATGGCCAAGATGGGGCTCCGGCACTACAGGATGTCGATCGCCTGGACGCGGATCCAGCCCACGGGCACGGGGCCCGCCAACCTGGAGGGCGTGGCGTTCTACAACCGAGTGCTGGACTGCCTGCAGGAGGCCGGGATTGAGCCATGGGTGACAATCTACCATTGGGACCTGCCCCTGGCGCTGCAGGTGAGGGTAGGGGGTTTTCCCGGGACCCCGTGCAATCGCGCGTCGCGGACGTGCGTGGGCACCGCGAGGATCTGTGGCTTTGGCGACGATCTTGCCGATTGAGGAATTGGGGATTGACCGTGGATTGGGGCGTTCATCGCAGGTGGAGAGGGACGGCTGGCTGGGCGGGGAGTACGTGATCAACGCGTATGTCGAGTACGCCCGCCTGTGCTTTCACCACTTCGGCGACCGCGTCAAGCGGTGGATCACGTTCAACGAGCCCTGGTGCGTCAGCGTGGTGGGCTTCGGCACGGGCGAGCACGCGCCGGGACGGAACTGGCAACCCCAGAGGGAGCCCTACATCGTGGCGCACAACCTCCTGCTGGCGCACGCCAAGGCCGTCAAGCTCTACCGCGAGCAGTACAAGTCGTGGCAGGAGGGAATCATCGGGATCACCATGAACAGCGACTGGCGGGAGCCGCTGCCGGAGGACAACCCTAGCCGGTACATGCGCAACTGCGAGGCCGCGGAGAGGACGCGGCAGTTCTTCCTGGGCTGGTTCGCGGACCCCGTGTACTTCGGGGACTACCCGCAGCTGATGAAGGTGCGGCTGGGCGACCGGCTGCCGGCCTTCACGCCGGTGGAGAAGGCGATGCTGAAGGGCAGCGCGGACTTCTTCGGGCTCAACCACTACACCACCACTTACGCCGCGGTGGGTCGGCTGGGGCCGGCAAGGCTTGGTGGCAGATGGCCGTGCCAATGGTTGGCAAGCCGTTGGACTGGGGGGGCTAGTCATGAGCCACATCGTCTCTGCTGGATGGGGCAGAAGATCTCCCGTGCACCGCAAAAATTGTTGTCGATGTGGCGGACGGATGGGATGGGACTGTGATTAAGGCACCTATTGAACGATATGCGCCTTCTTTCCTTGCTGCTGGTTCCGCATCGCAGCATGAACAAGTCTGCTGAAACCCAGCTGTGCTCAATAGCAAATGTCTGTGTCCCTAACACATGTGACAACGGCAAGGCAAGTCAGGCAAGGCAGGTGACAAGGGCAAGGTAGGTCGAGCCAGGGAGGAAACAAATATGGCAAAGGGGTGGGTGTGACATTCATGTCCTTATCGTGTTTTCATTGCACCCTTGAGATATGCGATTGCCACATCGATTGACAGATTTGCCTAGCCCAGGCCTGCTTCACATCTGCTGGTATGTGTGTTAAGAAACAGTTGCATGGGTGTGAATGTAGGACGCCCTGCCAGGCATGGCTGTTGGTTTTGTCAGCACAGAGAGCAAGGCAGACTGGGTGCTCGTGTCGGATGAGGAGGACGATGCCCCAAGCAGCAGGGACACCGATCCAGTCGAGGTGCAGAGCATTTATGGCTGGGAGAAGGTACACCGCCACAAGAAGAAGACGCCTTCCAACGTGGCCTTGGGTGGATGGTTTACGGACTGCGGCACACAGTGGACCTGTGACAAGGAGTGGTCGATGAACGACATGGGGTGGGCCGTCGTTCCCTGGGGCCTGCGCAAACAGCTGGCGTGGATACAAGATCGGTACTCACCACCAGGGGGCATAATCGTCACGGAGAATGGATGCGCTTGCAAGGAGGACGATGCAGCATCGGCCAAGTGCGATAACCAGAGGGTGGCCTACCTGCATGGCTACATCTCCGAGATGCACAAGGCGATTGTGGAGGATGGTGTAGACTGCCGCGGCTATTTCGTGTGGGCATTCATAGACAATTTTGAGTGGGCGCTTGGATATTCTAAGCGTTTTGGCCTGCATTGGGTCGATTACAACACGCTTGAGAGGGTCCCCAAGGAGTCTAGCAAGTGGTACGCGAAGGTCATCGCAGCCAACGGCCTGGTGCCTGTCGATGGCTGAGCATGATATTGGGGGCTGATGTTCTTTTATTAGTTTGGGGCCCGGGTTGTGCTGGCTGGCAAATGGGTCTGCGCCTGTTGTACTCGCCAGGCGCCCTAGCTACATGAATCATTGCCACAGAGGCAGAGGGCACACCGCTTGCCTGAGCCAGGGCGGCGGGTAATTGAATGGTGTTCTTTTTGGCGAATTAGAATGTATTTCATTGGTTCTGCAGGCGTGCCTGCAATGCTGACATGTTAATGTGTTGGGCGGAGGAAATTGTCATCCCGAGGACCCGTTTACAGGCTGGCGACACCTGTGCAGTGTGGCATGGCTTGGGGCCTATGCCACGGCATATCTGGTGCGCAGTTGGGAGTCGTCGGGATGATAATAGCCGGATGGACGGGGCCATGTACCCATGTTAGGATTTTGGACGCAGGAGCCAAGGGGCAAGGTATCAAGTCGGATGTTCATGCGAACGAGAACGGATAATTTCTTGATTTGAGTCCTAAGGATAAGCAACTCTCAAGGGCCGCTCAGGGCCGCAGCCTCTTTGCTCAAGCGAACAGAATTTGATTCGCAATTCCGTTTGGCTGGTCTAGGCAGCGAAGAGCTCTGTGGATCTTCATATCTGTGGACTGAAATTTGTTAAGTGGTGCGGCCTTTTTGGGCTGTCGTTGCCTCCCACATCTGTTCTTGCGGTTTTGATGGTTCTTTCCTACAGAAGCCTTGTCAAGCCTTGTGATTCTGATTTGCTCCAAATCGACGGCGGTGTTGGACACGTGAAAGTGACGTAAGCATGGGAATGTGCTCCCACCAGAGTGCAAGCCGGCCACATGCCATTTGCAGGTTGGCTGCCTTGGATACACAGCATTGGCGGGGATTGGCATTCGGATTCAGGCATGGGGCCTCACGCAGTCTTCACATTACAGATTGATCCATGTCCTTGTGCTGCAGATTGACAGCGGCCGCAGACAGTTCTCTGCAGTCTGTCGTGATGCACATGGTACCCCAAACTTCTCCCAGCCCACATGAGGCTCCACGAGTCGGTCGAACATCCGCCATCAGGGGACAAGACCGTCGAATTTCACGAATCACGGCGGGAGGCGCTGATGTGACATCATCGTGATAAATGGACTGAATAGATGGCCTAGCCGTGAGGGGACATCGCTGTATCTGCGTTGCCTCCGGCTCGTTCCCAGACCGCCTCCACCAGAACCGCTTCCCTAGTGGCCAACCAGCCCATGACCCGTCAGCGCCTTCACACCAGCGCCAGTGCATCGTCAACCGCAACCGCCGCTTCCAACAGCACCTCACCCCCTCCTGTTCCGCACCACCTCGGGACGCACATCAGTTGTTGTATGCAGAGGTCGTCGCGGTGTCGGCGCTGCCAAACGACTCGTCCCACACCGTGTGGAACCATCCCTCCATGTCCGTCCTCTGGTAGGTGTGCGACCCGAAGAAGTCCCTCTGCGCCTGCACCAGGTTTGCCGGCAGCCTGGATCGCCTGTAGGCGTCGAAGTACGCCAGGCTGGCCGTCATGCCGGGGACTGCGATGCCTGCCGCAACGGCACGCTGCACCACGCGACGCCACGCCGGGATGCGTGCAGCGATGTCGGCGCCGAATTCGGGGTCCACAAGGAGATTGGGGAGGTCGGCTTTTCGCCCGAATGCCTGCGTGTGCAGGTGGCATTCATCATCACCAAGAAATTCTATGTGTGCGTGCAACAGACAGGTGAAACAGACAGGCGAACGCGCCGTTCACTTTCACAGAACCGGCCGTGGCGCGCCGTTGCAATTCGCAAACACCTGCCACCGCGAGGTTGACAGCTTGGTTTCTGCAATTTCTACAACAACACGACTCTCATTGCCATTGACACGATCATCATGCTCGTTGTGTGTGAGCCGCTCTGCTTCTGTGTTCCTGAAAGCAGCCTCCCTTGAATTCGTCAGGACAGAAACCGACAGGAAGGCAGCATGTACGCAAGGAGACCCAGGAGGCGCTGTCGCGGTCACGGGAAAGCACTGTAATAACAGACCTCACACCAGCCCCTCGCAATTTGTGAGATGCCATCAAGAGAGGCGACGAACCTGCTTGATGCGGTCCAGGAACACGGCTCGGATGATACACCCTCCCTTCCAAATACGGGCGAGTGATCCGAGGTCGATGTCCCACTCCTTTTCCAGGCTCTTCGCGCGGATGAGGGCCATGCCCTGGGCATAGCTGCAGATCTTCGAGGCGTACAGCGCCTGGCGGACGTCATCGATCAATGCCGCCTTGTCATCGGGCGACTGCGACGCAAGCACATCCACCAGTCAAAGGGGAGACAGCAGACAAACGCCGCTGCCGGGTGGAGTCGCTGTCGCCTTCCGCGTCACCCACAATCTCGAAATTCCAACACTCGCATCCTATCCAAACAGACCAGGTTCATTGGCCATTTGACTTTGCTTGCGAATGCTCCAACTCACCTCTGCCACGGATGGCTCCGCAACACCCAGCTGCTCATAGAACTTCGCTGCTTCCACCCTCTCCTCCTTCAGCCCACTGGTGAACCTCCCATCCAGGGACGCCGTGATGGTGGGCGCTGGCACAGACAGCTCCGCGGCTTGCTGCACCGTCCACTTCCCCGTGCCCTTCATGCCAGTCTTGTCCAGAATCTTGTCCACAAGGTACCCCTCCCCCTTGTCATCTGGCTTGGCACATATGATGGATGTAATGTTGATCAGAAAGCTCTCCAGCTCGCCCTTGTTCCAGTCTGAGAAAGTTTGGGACAGCTCCTCATTGCTGGCACCACCGATGACCCTCAGGATGTCGTAGGCCTCGGATATGAGCTGCATGTCACCATACTCGATGCCATTATGCACCATCTTGACAAAGTTCCCAGCGCCGCCATCTCCGATATATGTCACACAGGGCCCATCGTCCACCTGGGCAGCGACTTTGGCGAGCATGTGTTCTAGGGGGGCATAAGCCTCTTTGCTTCCGCCAGGCATCATAGAAGGACCTGCACGTTTTCAGCTTGGATTCAGCTCTGAGACAGCTTGTCGATAATTAGCTGAAGACCAAAACAGCCAAACCTGGACATTGAAGGAGATGAGATGCCATCATCGCTTTGGGAGTGCACAAGACCTTATCTTGACTTGGATTTTGGAGTTAGCGGTCAGACGCAATCGCTTAACCACCTTGGAGGTGCTGAGTAACATTTTGTTGGCTCGTTGCCAGAGCCGTCCCCACACGTTGCTGGATGCAGCGGGTTCTCTATCCAATACCTCCAAATGTCACCCAAGCTGCAATGTTCATGGCTCCATGGGAGCCATCGGCTGCCCGCATCCCCTTGTTTGCAGGAGGAAAACCACAAAATGGTAAGAACAAGAGAAAAAGCACAGACACACTGAAATCTGGTGAGCACATAGTTGTGACGTTCGAACATATTGTGCAGCACCATGAGTCCCAGATGTCTCCACAACTCCAATGAACAGCAACCTCACACCCACAACTGCATTTCACCCCACACACCATTTCTTGCACCCTCCTCTCCCCCTGACACTCCCATCCCCATATATAGAAGTCCCTTTTTGGCCACAAGCTCCTTCCTGCGCTCTGTGTTTTCGTACCTGGGCACAAGAGTGGAGAACAGTCAGATGGCAATCTTGCAAGACGACATGGGCATCTGCACAAGCAGATCCAAGGTTTTGAAAGGCTATATTGGACTCCACAGCACTGGTGAGCCGAAAATCAAAACAACAGCCACACAGTGTGGGGAGTTTTGAGGTGGCACGATGTCCAGGGTTGGCAATGTCATTTCGATTGGCAATTGGGTCAGAGCAGCAACTGGGCAGGGGATCAATGAACAAAACAATATGTGGGAGAAATAAAGGGTACTTGAAACGGGGCATGGCAAAATGGATCATTGCCGAGCTTTGACTCATGCTCCGCTGTGTGCACGTTCGGGCTTAACTTTGTAACAACACCTTTAGCTGCCTGTTTGGGAAGTGCGTTGCCCGATGGGACGGACCAACTGGTCCGTCTACACAGACCTTATCGTCTGACGGATTTCCTTTCAGCTGAAGGCCCAAAGCACAACGGCCGGCCACAAATAACTCACCATTCGTTGCCGCCGTCGATTATAATATCACCCTCCTCCATTTGCTCCGACAAGGTCTCGATCACAGCATCCACGGGAGCACCAGCCCTCACAAGGATCATGACGCGCCTGCAGTCACGAGCAATGAATACAGCTATACAGTCAGTGTAGGGATGTCAAGGCACCACAGCATCCCTGAAACTGGCTCCTGGATCAACCGGAAAGGCCGCTTTAATTCCCCAGCAGAAGGTGTGAGAGCCGTGGACAGCAAATCTCGGAAGCCACAAGCACAACGTGATGAAGGCATTTCCTGTGCAAATGAGGGGATTCGGCAAAGCAAAATGGGATTCCCGCCCTGGTGGCACCTCATGGAAAAAAAGCAAGAAGGTAGGGGTGCAGGGGCCTTGCGAATGGGTACCAGTTGGTGGGAAGTGAGAAACTCACCGCGGCTTTTGGAGGGATGCGACGAAGTCCGGGATGTTGTCGAAACCGATGAGGTTGCCGTCGAGGCCTGTACCAAACGAGGTCAGAGCCCGGTCGCAAAGTCAATCATCGGCAGCTGATTTTAGAGAGCTGCGGTGCGGACAGACAGCAACAAGGCACATCCCTGCCCAGCGCATTGATCTCTAGTTTGACATGCCTGCGTCCAGCAGACGCGCTGATCACAAGGCAACAGCGATGTCACCTCTAGGATCAAGAAGCCCAGCAAGTGATCAAGAAGCCCAAATTTCGCGACAGCGTATGGCCACTCCCCGAGAGCAAGAAGCCCGCCACGGCACAGCAAGCGTTGCCCCCCAAGGGCCCCCACCTTCCTTGTTGGCGCGCCCGACAGCAGCTTCGGTGCCCGCGGGCGACCTGTTGTACACGGAAATCCGAAATCCCTTCTCCGCGACGTTGAGCGCAAAGTTCTGCGCAGGGCAAGGCGGCGCGGGCGTGAGGCGAGGCTGAGACCTGACCACAAGAAATGGCGCCCAGCACTGCGGAGCACTTTCCAGGCGGCCTGGCGCGGCCCATGGCGCGCACCCACCTGACCCATAACGGCCAGCCCGACCAGACCGATCTCAGACATTCCCGCCATGCCTTCTCCACGAGCACGTGCCACAATCCTGTGAGCGTCAAGCCTGCGAAGGAGCACCCGCAGGCGAATGAGCCCCCACAAGGAGTTGCGGTCGTCAGGCGTGTCGAGGTGTCGTGGGGCCACGCCGCCCGACTTTGGTGTTGAAAGATCGAGAACGCGTGTCGGGGAGCGGCGGCGGGTTTGCGGGCCTGGAAGGCTTGGGATGCTCACCGGTGCGGCGAGCGCGCGGGGTGTCGCGTTGGGCGCGGCCTCGCAAACCGCCGTGGTGGCGAAAACTCGGCCCGGAAACGTCACTTTGGCTGCGGCTAACGGCATGGCACACTTTTGGCGTCACAAACGGGCCCTTCCGTAATCAGACTCTCGTGACTCTTCGGGGCACATGGGGGCCCCCCGTTGCTGAGGCCAGGAATCGGACGGCTGCAGGGCTGTGGGCAACCGAGGGAGCAAACGTGGGAAATGGCCTCAGAGCATCTTTATCGGTCGGCGCTATTGTTCCGGCGGAGCTATTCGGCTATCCGAATAGCTCCGCACATCAAAAAACCATCATTAACGGTTGGGGAGCAATAACTCCCCAATAGCTCCCCCGGAGCTATTCGGCGCCCAGCGGAGCTATTCGGGGCCAGAATAGCTCCGCTCGAGACCGAATAGCTCCCCAGAATAGCACCGGTGCTATTCGCGCAGAACATTGTAGTGCTGCAGTGATGCTATTCGGCGTAGTCATAGCACCCACCATTGCGGATGCGTGCAGGGGAGCAATAGCACCGGTGCTATTGGGCAAATGCCGCCTTAGTAAGGTGGCACGGCAGCCAATGAAAACCGTTCCTGTATAACTCCGCCGGTGCAATAGCACCGACCGATAAAGATGCTCTCATCTGACATGCCCATTGTGCTGCCAACGCCTCCGCGAATTCAAGAATACCGCGAAATATTCAACCCTTCCCGCACAGCAACGTAACGCTTGGCTTCTTTTTGCGTAGAAATATTAATATTCTTTGAGGAGCAACACAAAAAATAGATACCGCTCTGAAAACAAATGCGGAGCAAAAAGCGCAAGGGTAAAATTTTTTGATGTTGAAGAGTTGGGTATGCTACGGTTTATTGTCCCGTCAGTCTTCTGCTGAACCCCTTGTCTTCGCAGCAGTGTTGTTTTGGGCCCAGGGTGCACCATCCACCATAAGACTGGTTCAGCAACAAAAACTTGGCAACCGGCATATTCTCTTTGTTGATGGCCACGCTCATCGTTGCCCGCTAATCCAAGTGGCCTCCAGCATATGAGCGACTGTACCCCTGGGATGAGTGGGCAAGTCCACCAAGGGAACCCGAACACAGCAGAGTGGAAACACCCTGGAAAGGCACCAACACATGGGCGTTTCACAAGCAGTTGTGGACAGATTGTGTGTCGAACTGTGTCCCGTTCCTCGATTCCGTCCGTTGTGCAAGTACAGTGGAAACGGAATACATGAAGCATCATGTTTCAAAGCATTGGTTTCCTCATATTGGGCCGAACCTTTTGTAGATATCAACCTGTCGCACAACAGTCCACGCGCCCTCTGGATGCAAACCTACATGGTGGTCCCAAGGACATTCAGATCGCCTTCCGTCCGGCCCTGCGCCCTCGAGGCGCACTTGTGGAGCCGCTTGCCGCTGTCTTTCCGCTGGCGTGGCTCTGCCCGGGCCACAGCATGCATCCGGGCGAAACAGTTGCAACTGGGGCAGGAGGTGGATATTGAGCGGGTCCTCATCACGCAGGGCGAGATATCAGAGCAGGTCGAGGCATTGGGAAGGTGAGCGGCAGAGGACAACAAAAGGAATTCCACGGAGAGTGAAGGAATGAGCATACTCACGACAGTAACTTGTAAAACTGCACGCTGGCCATGTCTCTGCGAAATTCTGATCACCAGATTTATCAGTTTGTCTTGCAGTCTGCAAGGACATCACAATGTGTTACCAAGCAAACTCCCCAGCCTCATGTCAGCCTCATGTCATGAGAGCACACAAGGCAAACAGATTTGGGCTGCAGTCTGAGCACCTGGACGGCACACCTAATCTGTTGCAACAGTGCACTATGCTGTTTCAAGCCCTTTTGAGAAAGGAAGCTGCTACAGATGGTCGCAGTAGTATCCAAGCCAGCCCTACTGGACCCAAAGGTCTGCATGTGGGACACAATCCCGAGATTGAAAGCACAATTCTCAACAGTCCAGTATGACACTGAACGATGATCCAAAAGAGAATACTGTTATCATAGATAGCCATTTCTGGTGAATTGAAGAAGTTGCGTTGTGGGCATATCTGTGCAGGATTTTCCCTGGGTTTGCCACTGACTGACTTCTCATCTCCTTGACTTCTGCCACTTCATTTGTATACTCAGGCAACTGGCTGATGATTATTGTGACAAACGTCCACTGTTTATTGGGGTGAGTGTGGTGCTTCAAGTGATGTTATTTAGGCCTTCCACACGGCAGATGAAACAATCTTTAACTGGGTATGACATAAATTGCATCTCCGATGCAAACGAGTGAAAGTAAACCCCTGCCTGAATACATGCTGCTGTACACGTCTGCTGAAGGCATACATTGTGTGCTCTGGATTCCCTGACTCCCTGACTCCCTGACTGTGCCTTGATAGTATTCCTGAGCTGTTGGTCGAAGGGAGAAGTTTGGATTGCACAGCAACACACACTCTGGCCCACTAAGTAAATCATCTACCCGTCGCTGATTAATTAGGTAGGCCAGGGTGAGCTTTACTGGGCAAAGACCACAGATGCTGCGCAAACACTGCTTGCTTACGCCATCCACCCCACCCAACACCCCGCTTTGCTGCACTTGCTGAAAGGATTATTTATTTGTACACTTGAATCTTGCAAATCTAAATGGTACCTCTCATGCATTTTTGGAGGGAATGAGCTGCCTGCCACGCCCTGATGTTCTACCATTTTTCATCAAGATGCTTCCCTTTTCCAGCCAATGTTCGGCAGGCAAATTGCACTGTTAAGATGGCTGTGCATATGTTGGGAACCTCTGAGCTTGATGCAGCCAGTGCAGAAGAGATACGTCTGTGGGAGCAGTATGGTTCAGTTTGCTGGCATGGTGTTGTGGCTGCGACGACGGGCACTGTATAGGTGCAGCCCTGTGGACTCATGGACATCTAAATTGATACTAGTCAGGGCAGCTGCATTCCCTTGTGTGCTGCTTGGCCATTTTGTGAGAAACAAGAGCAATGGTCTTAGCACTGCGAGGAGAGCTCCAATGGTTTGTGTTGTGGGACATGCAAAGTGAAGAGTCCTTGGGGTGTAGGGGATGGAGTGGGGAAGTATGGTTCATGGCAGCCACAATCTAGAGCACATAGAGCACTGGCAAGCATGCTATTATCCAAGGAAGCCAACACCCCAACATCACCACCCTGCCCCTGGGAATACTGTAGGCGTTGAGTGTGCATGAATACGCAACACATGCCAGTGTGGGCCAACCATCATTTGTGCATTTCCTGCAATCTCCTCTTTTCCTTGGGGGAGGGGAGAGAGAGCATCACTTGCAGAAGCCAGAGGAGCCTCTTTGCTTCTGGATCTTCCAGGGTTGTTCCAGAGCTGTGACTGGCACAGTATGGCAGCTGGGGAGCTCAGAAGGGGTTCATGATGTTGCGTTGCATCACCACCCTGCACAGTTCTGTGGTGTGTAGTCTTCCCGATGTTGAATGGCCATGGACCTGCCATTAGTGGGCGGTTTGAGTTGCTGGGCAACAAGTGTCCTGAAAAATTTGTGGCCTTTGTTGCAGACACTATCTGGGGCCTTTGTGTTCTTGTCAGGTTAGTGCATTGTTGAAGCATTCGCACCTTGTGGATTGGTTTTGCATTTGACACAATATCTTTGGTTCTTATGGGCGCTGCTGCACTTACACAAGTAGCACCCAAGTCTGGAATCTGTGAATTCTCCAGCCCAACCCTTGGATCAAAGGACATTTGTTCTGGAACCATATGCATTGAAGGAGATGCCCATGGGTAGATGCCCTGAAGAATGTGGTAAATGTTCACCAAACCTATTCCCCCCTTGTGAAGAAGCAGTGTGGTGAATTTAGTGTCACTAACACTGCTCAGTAGGCCTGTGTTTGTTTCAGATTTCATCTGGTGCCGATATTAGAATAACTACAATCACAGATTGTGTTGGATTTTGCTGAAACTGCATTGGCATGAACAGTTCCCCAAGTATATGAAATGGTTCTGATGTGCCTCGTTGGAGTTATATCTGGATTCTTGAGCACATTCTGTTCTTTGGGCAGGGCGAAATGATAATATACTCATGAATAGCCTGCTACTGTCCAGCATATCGAAATTTGACGTTGCTTCACAGAGAGTGTTCATTCAGGGTAACCAAATGTTTAATGTTGTGTGCAGAAGCTGCTGAAAAAGTGGCCTATTTTTCTGATCAGATAGCGGGATTTGCTGGGTTTGCGGTACAACAGGTGCCATTATTTTTGATATGCAAGCATTATGCAAATGGAATTTTGGACCTTGTTTCATTGATTCTGGCAGCACTGGCGCTCATACCGTTCTTGGATGTCTTTGTCGACAGATTTGATCCGGTCAATTTCTCCCTGTCCTGTTGGTTTGGAGGTAGATTTTCTGAAGGCTGGTTCCTATGGGTCAAGAACGGAATCCTCAGGACAAGTCATGTTGTCCAACATTCTGAAGATTGGAGCGGAGGGCAGACATGTCATTCTGGTGGGGACCTACACTGCCATACTCTGAAACATTTACACATCTGCAAGCTGCACAATGAGTGGACCACATCTTCCTTAACAAATGACATGCGACTCACATTCTAAGAAGAGCAACGTTTATTTCGCTGGATGCCAACTGCAGGCAACGCTGCAGCGAGCGCAGGGGAACAACTGCTCTAGTCCACAGTGCTGTGCTGCCCTAGGCGCCTCATGGGATCCGCTGAACACATTCCCCTTTGCAGGGCAAAGCAATGCCCTCGTGCCTTCAAGACAATGAAGGGCACTCCCACATCCAACGTGACGAAATCCATCTGCGCTGTGGCGGTGTCCTCAGCAGTTTAATTTATGGGTGTCTGTCGATTGGCGGACACGCTTTTGCGTATCATGATTTGTGGGTATTTGTCAGTAGTTATGTCGTCCTGCCAGAAGGAATCTGTGAGTTCCTGTTGCCCAACAAAGCCTTCTGAAATGTGAGTCGTCAGCGCTTTTTGAACTGCTGGCAAGGGCAAGCTCATAGAGAATTCCAACCAAACACATGCAGTTTCCCGCATTTAAAAGTCCTGTTACATATGCAAGGCCATCTGAAAGGGTGCTGGGTCCATCTTCAGGTGGAGGATATTGTGGACACAGGGCTGACTTTGAAGGCACTGATCGACGAGCTTTCAACTTGTGCCGAGTCCGTGAAGGTCGTGGCACTGTTGAACAAGAAATCACGCCGGACGGTCGACGTGCAACCGGACTACTGTGCCTTCGAGGTAGCCGTGTAAAATGCACTTAATTAGTCATCGTTATTTTCACCTGCTGCCTGCCATATGTCCATATCTTGGGCAGAGATGGACCAGGAACACATAGACTGCCTTTCGAGTGCCTTGAGCTCTGGCCATGGGCCTGCAACCCCACTCTAAACAACCCCCCAAATATTGAATGTTGGACACGCAAGTCGAAATGTTCGAGCATGACATGGCGCACATTGCCTGAGCTAGCCATCTGTGATATGTAAAGCGCCAGTATCCAAATACAGCGTCTCCCCCCGTGAGGTTAGGCACTTCGGATGGTTCTTAAGGAGCTAAGGCAGGACACAGACAGCCCAACATGGACCACGGATCATCACCCCTGGTCCAGGGCCCCTATTCAGAGGACCTCACAGAACACCTTTGAATTCGATCGCTTTTGGAAAATCGCCTGTAGGATGCAGTCAGGCGAGTGCACGTGGTGAAATCTTCAACCATCCCTTGCCTCTTTAGTTTCCCGTCCTCGCTCTCACTCCTAAGGCCCCCAGCTATCGGCTCTCACGCCAATTTCGCGGCGGCGTCTTTCTTGTTCCTTTTCAGCAGTTGTGGCATACTCGAGCCAGCGTTTAAAGCGTATGCGGTAGGCACCTACTGTTACCCAGTCACATCAGTGACACTCCCAGTGAAAAGGTGGTCATTATGCGGTGTCACGGACACTGCACCGTGCCCGTTGTCCATCGGGTTCAACCAGCTTGCCAACGTGGGTGTCTGTAGAACGGAGTGTTCATACTTTTCTCGTGGGGATGTGGAAGGGGAGGGGGGGGGGGAGGAGGGGGGATGCAGTGAATGGAAATCGAATGTTCTTGACAGCTGTCGCGCTTCTGTGTCTGGTCATCTCAGAATGTTGTAACGTTGAGCGCCGGCAGCAATCATTCGTGGCCTGTGGTACTTGTAGGTTTCATTGTAGACCTGGGGTGGCATGCACTCATCAGTGGGTTACCAGACCCCCCTGATACTGCCGCCGAGCGCTTTCCACCATGAGCGGGTGGTTGCTAGTACCACACGATGTATAGATGCCTGAAACCGCTGTGCTGCTTCCACTGCAGTGTCCTGATGAATTCGTTGTGGGGTATGGCATGGACTTCAACGAGCAATATCGCTCACTGCCGTACATCGGTGTCCTGAGGCCCCAGGTGTACGGAGCTCCCGATGACTAGCTATGCTCCGATTTTTCCGTTGGTTGGCGATGCCGTCCCCACACGGTAAAGCCTCTAGCATGCCCTGGTGGTCATGCAGCCCATGTATTACGCCCTCCTGATTGCTGCCTACATGCGAGTGCCATGGAAATGTCTGCACACGGTGGTGGTGGTCCATGGCGACTGCGGTTCCCCCCAAGCCCCCTCCTGCGCACCGAGATCAGATCAGCAGCGGTGATGGAGACTTTCTGGACCAAACTCGCGGGACATCAGTTGAGCAGTCTGTGCTGGATGTACGTGCACAGTAAATGGAACCCATTCTTGCAATGCATGGCTGATTAATCGCCATCCAACACGCTTGCAGCTAAGGGCGACAGGACAGGGAGAAGCCCACTTTGCATTTCCCTGTTTCTGACAACAGGTTCGTTTTTTCCCCCGCATATTGTGTCGGCGCTTTTGTCGCTTTCCGTTCTCTCTGTCGGTCCGATGTCGCGATGCATGCTGACAAGCGCTTACACCTACGGTTAATAAATTGAGTCCAGGAACGACAGCTATCGTCAGATCCGCACTTGGTGCACGGGCGTGGTCCCAATGCTGTCAACAGGCACATTTTCGGCCAAACGGCGCATTAAATGGTGTCTACAGTCCGCCAACTACAGCAAATGGCAAAATATGCAGTGCTTCATATTTGGTAGCCCTGTGAGTGTCTGTGATGGCTATGATCGTTTCAACAGTCACATTCGGTCTTCGCACGAAACATATCCCGCTGCACCCACATTGCGAAACTCCTCGTTCATACAAAAGGTTGCACCACAGGCAATACACTCGCCATCAGAATGGAGACCCGCGTCCGTGACCAAAACGAAAAATTAACCGACAGGATTCGCCCTGCATGCATTGCATGCAAGATGGTGAAATAATCGCTGTTCAGCCCAATTGCACTAAACTAATCACAGAATCACTTGGCTCTCTCAACCCAAGACACAAAACTGCAGAACAGCCGCAGCGCAGCCCTTCCACACTCAGAGTCCAGTTGCTCCTCCACCAACGGTTCGTGGAGGACAGGACACAGAGCATCGCCCCTCTCTCACCCGACTCCTCTCCAGCCTCGGCTCTGCAACGCAACTCAGACCAGCAAAGCTGCTAGCGAGACAGGATGTGGTGCACAAGCGAATCTGGCAGCTTTCCCGATTTCTGAAACCCTCTCATGTGAAGGATGGGCTGACAGCCAGCATCCGACATCAGCACCCCATCCTCAACGAACTCTGCGTACGTCTCTGGCTTGTGACCCTCCAGCAGTGCCTCGCCGCCAGCGCTCCCTATCAGGTTCAGGACGCGTCCCAATGCGTCCAGCGAGTTCATTTTCATGTAAGGACAGCTTGCGCAGCCGCCTTCCAGGGAACAACCCTCTCCTCGGGCTGCTCCAGGAATTACTTGAAGGGCCCCTGCAATGAATCGAAAACGGAAAAACAAGAAACTCAGAAATATAGCACTGAGGTTCGCCCAGGGATGTACACTTCCAAACGCTATATGTGTAACACATGTGGTGGAGTTTGTAAGTCTCAAAGTCCATTTTCTACGTGATGCCATGTGCTATACAACATGGTGCAGTACTGTGATCCTAGCAGCAATAGAGAAGCCACAAAGAAAGTCGATTTGACAAAGTGTGAAACGTGGCCTTTGTCGATTTGATAAAGCCAGCCTCACTCATCCGCAAGGGTCCAGATGCATGTTGCTGAAAGCGGCTTCCAATCACTCAGGACCTTGCCGCCCACGTGGCAGTTTGTCAAACTTATCCACTTCATTAACATAGGCGATCTCTGGCTACTTGCAGGCGCACACAGCCGTGGCATGAACATGGCTCCTCTCTTGTGCGCTCGAAGCATGGCTGCAATTGTCGCAGCTTGTGATCCTGTGCACATGCATTGCAAAGGGAACATCCCGCCAGCCGCCTATGCCGTTTGTGCCATGCCGGATTGACATAATCTAGACCTCCAATTTGCAGCATTGTTCGTTGTCCTTTCCTCAACTCTCAGATGCAATGCGAAACTTGGGCTGAACACATTGTCACTGCTGTCATTCAACACAATACCTGGAAGGGTAACGGTGTCGCTCAATGCCTGTCGGTCCGTCGTGATCGCCTCAGGGGCCACTGGAAACACAATTTCCACAAGGAGGTCCGTGCCTTCATGGGCCTTCAGCAGATTCTGCACAGCCTTCACAATAGAGGTAATCATCCCCGACTCCGTTCCCAGCACGAACTGCAACTTCGCAGAGCGCCTGTCCGCCAGCTCGTCCTCCAGCTGCGGACACCATGGCACATCAATTCAAGCATGTCAACATTCAATGGTGGAAGACCAGCTGGACAAACGACTTCTGGTAGACGGCTGCTGGCAGGTCACGCAAAAAAATGAAGGACATCCATCACACGCAGCATGGAAACGATGGTCTGGGCGCAAGTGTTCCACCAGGTGTGCTCGCTCTGGCATAAGTCTCATTTGAGCCCAGATTACAGGACAACGCAAGCTCATTCTAATGGTTTGGGAGGACCTCACAATTCGTGGCAAAAAAAACCCAACAACTCACAAGCTGATGGGGCAGTGGACTGCTATCATCGACAGGAAATCTGTGGCGGTATTCTATTTTGCATTTGCGCCTTTCTATAGAATCAACCTGCACAATTAGTTCTGCAACAGCTTGCCTTTCTCTACCCAGTCAGCGGTGGTTATATACAGTCGCTAACAGACTGGCCATGCTCTGCTGAACTGATGTGACATTCTTTACATTCCACCTGTAGCCACATTGTGACATGTCACATGCTAATTTCTTGCTGTACTGAACAGCATAATGTGTACCTAGATAGTGATGTTTTGCACAATCCTTCATCTGTTTAACATGACATAACAAGGTGTGCTCCCAACCCCCACCAAGCTATTGCACCAGCACTGCAATCCCACACTGATTCATCTCAACAATATGTCCAGAATGTTATGCAGAGGCTGTTCCTTCTTGATGAAGCTAATATGCACCACATACATGAACTTTCAATTTCAGGCCCCACAGGATGAGTCCTCAACACACTGGAGCCAGAACCTACTCTCAGCTGAAACACACAAACAGCCAAGGCTCCTGAAAGGAAAAATACTGACGCAGCGCCAAAAAGATGGAAGTCGACACTGGGTCAGGTAGACACAACATCATCCATTCTAATCGCAATTGTCCACTGGACAACAAACACCAACCCACCACAGAGGTTATGAAGTTGAGGATGTTAGAAGTGGACCCAACGACTCCCATTCCCCTCTTCTTTGCCTCCATAGCCAATTCAAACAGCTCCCCAGGGACCTCGAAATGGGCTGTGAGGTACGCATCGCTGTAGGCCTCCTTCACAATCTGGCACACCTCCCCACCAAACAGGTGGTGAACGATGCACACACCATCACTGAAGTGGCGAAGGCGCGGTAGCAGGGACCTGGAACAGCCGCTGTCACTGAGTGTACAGCAGGATGAGATCTTCATGTTCATTGAGGCACTGAGGATCAGAAGCAGTGCATGTGAATGCAGTCCAATCCTGCATTCTTGACCTGGTGTCATCTTTCTGGCACCCAATCATGAAGTAAATGACTGCACAACAGGCGTGGCTAACAGCCAACAAAATCGACAACAAATAAGGAGCTACTGCCATACTCAGTCTGAGCATCGCGGTACACATGCACTCACCGAACACTCTCTTGGTTGTGTTCAGGATGCACCTCCTTGATTTCCTCGTCACTCATTTGTGCCAACATCTGGAATAAGTGCACCAGATTTTGGCCCATGTATGTGTCTGGGCCATACCACACATTCAACCCAGGCACTTGGGCAAATGCCTGCAGCACAGTCTGCACCACATTGGAGGAAGTGCATGTGATCGTTGGCACTTTGGTGTGTGCCACAGCCTTGGTGCGCAGGGATGTGTTGATGTACACAACATGGAGGGAGGGTTGAACGGTGGCCGCCTCAGAAAGATATGAGAGGTACTTGTCACTTTCAGCAGCTTCCGCCAGCGAGCAACCAATTGATGCAGAAGCCATGCGGTACACCTGAACAACAGTGTGAATTGCCAGACGTTAATATGGATCGAGCCATGAATATGAAAAGCACGTGAACAGCATGAGTGCGCGCATACTTCTTGTCAATATAAGCAACTGTCTACCAAGTGGTCATACACTCCACATCAGGCAACTGTTCCCACCATTAGCATCCATTATGTTTCAACATGCCATGCTGGAGCAAGTGCCAAGTGATATGCAAGCCTGCAGCATTCTCAATACAGTTATTATACAGTTATACAGTTATTTGTCAATGCACATCCAGCTGATTTGCACTGACTTAGGCAAGGCTCTCCAAGCAATCGTTTATGGCACAACATAAAAGTCCAGGTATTTCACTCACTTGGACATCTTGATGGCCAGCCTTGTCAAGTATGGCTCTCACATTCTCAGACATGAAATCGACACCCAAAACTGCTATGTATCGGCAGCCGGCATCTGCCATTCTGACAGCTGCATCTGCCATCAGCAGAGAGTCAGATATCTGTATGTGTGGCCACTCATCAGCGGCAGCAGTGAGGACTCCCTGAACCTGGAGACTGCAACAATCCGTATCAGCACCACAGTGATGGTCAGAAACTAACACATGACACCATTTGTCATTCAAGCAACCCAATCCCCTATATATTGTGGCCATTTTGATACACAGTGATATATCTGTCCTGACATAGCAGCATCAACCCACTGCAAAAATCTCAAGATAAGTTCTCTGCTCAGGGCTTTGTGGCATCTGCTTCCACCCTGAAGCACAGTATCTCCACTGCCCCCAGTTTTCAACACAACTCCAATAACTTTACTCTTGCTACACATTCTTCCTGCTGGAGGTTCCCACAGACATAGCTGCCATTGTAGTGCTTCATTGCATTGACAAACGCCACCTCTTCCCCACCTGTGGGTCCATGTAGAAATGGGCAACAACACCAACCCTCTTTTCCTTCAGGATGGATGCCAATGCAGCAACCTCCTCTGCTGCTGGCTCCAGGTACAGGGCTTGGGCCTCAGCAAAGGCACCCTGAGGCACCAGACTATCTGCCGAGATGACCAGGGAGGGAAATGTGGGCATGTCCTTCAACAGCATGCGTGTTCGTTTGTGGACAGTCTCCAGCATGTTCAGAAAGCCATTGGTTCGCGAGCGTGTGGTGGTGGCAGTCCCAAGACCCAGCTCCTTCAGTGACCCTGAGTCAAACTGAAAGACACAGAGGACTGTTTAGACGAATGGTCAAAGCACCAGTCAAGACAAGCGGATATCCTGACATCAGTGTCTGCAACAGGATTGGTTCAGACATAACTGCAAAATGTGCCTTGCCAAGGCACTATCTGTTGGGGATGATTCTATCCTTTCCTAATGTCGATGGACAACATGGCCTGTTCCCACGCGCTGCACTGGAAAAAAATTATCAAGTTTCTTTTTCAGAAACCCCTTAGTTTCCTGTCAATGATGGCATTTATAGCACAGCAAAGCGACCCACAGCAGCTGTAATCTTGCCAGGAGAGGAGCCACCCATTGTTTGATCTGCTTCCCAGTTTTAAACATACACAGATAAGCACACACAAACAGTAGAACGGCCATGGAACAAAAAGCCTGTAGAACATAGTAAGGTGCACTGCACCTGCAATGCAGCCAATAACTCTGCAGGCTGATGTGCATCTCTGTGGAAACCCCAATGACGCCACAGCAGGTGTGTTGAACCCATCCACCCACTCCTCCACCCACCTCAAGAACTGCCTGTGGGGTGAGACCAGAGAGTGATTCTTGGAGAATCGCACACATTCCTCGTGTCAACTCTGAGTCGCTCGTTGCCCGCAGCTGCACACAACCTGCTTCGTCAAGCTCCACCACAACCCACACCTGCACGTCACAGTGATGCAAGAGTGACAGAAGGAAATCAACAATCTGTCTTGTTTCATGAATGCTGAACAGTTTCTAGATTTCTCAATAGATTCATGTGTCCATCTGCATATCTTACAGAACTACAGATATTGCCTGCACCAGGCAGCTGCACTCAACAGTTACTTTCGATTGAGCCCTCTGTCACTGTGTGAACTTCAACGCAAGGGTCATGCTCTGTGACCTGGGAAAGGTCTACATCGCAACACTTGAAAGGCATAGGCAGTTGATGGACAAACCTCAGGAGCCACGATTCTTTGGCTTAATGTAAACCAATACCCCTTTCCAACAATTTTTATACTCGCCTTGGCTGTGCAACCCATGACTCGATTGTCCATCACCATGTCCTCCTTAGGAAAGGCTGGAAGGCGCTTTGCGAACTGTGTCAACAAGTGGTAGCGCTCCTTGAGAGTGGACACAGAACGGAAGGCCTCTACGATTTTGTTAAAGGCTTGTCCTCCATGGGTCACCTGTGGGATGGCATCTGCCTGCGAATGCTGAAGACAAGCAAGAGCATCGTTTGCACCACAATGGATAAGGAGCAACCCACAGCTGCATTCCCCATTGCAATCATAGAATGCCACCGCAAACTGCAACATCATTGTCGCATCACACGTCAACCATTCCCACTGGGATCACCCTTTCCGAACAGCAATCCCGAATGTACAATGGCGCAAAGTCCCATCCATACAAATTAAAAAGCCCAAACGCGCAGTGCAAAACTTCTCTCAGTGACCGTCACCAAGTTTATGCACGAAGCGTCCACAAGGCTACAGAGAGTACCATTGTGGTTCCGCAATGCTGCTCAATAATATTGCAGCCAACACTACGCATGCGCCAAAACTGCCGGAACATCCCCCACGTCTGCGGCGTCCCACTCCCTTTCCCGGACCAGTCCCAACCTCTGTGGCTGAAGCTGCCAGGACGGACAGGCGCAGTCCCCTTCCCCTTCGACTTTGCCTCCAATCGAGGCCGGAGACGGGCCTTCCCGGCAGGCGTTTGACAGCCCAAGGGGCCGTTCCCCGAGCCTGCAAGTCCCTCGCCATAGTCCCAGCGGGACTCATCTTAGCCGGGCACGCCGCCATATTGCCGCTGGAGATTACGGCCAAATATCCTCGCCTCCCAGTGCGAATCCCTGCGGAGAATGGCGTCGGGCGATGGCAGTCGGTGCGCTTCAGGCAACGTGGGCTCCTGGGGGGAGGCTAAAGCATCAAATAGTTGGATTGCGCAAATCGGCCCTGCTGTCTTGCTGCCTAGGCGCCCCAGCTGTTGCCCTGGCTCGATGGCCACTTCTTGTTGTATGCCCAAGTCTTGCTGGCGAGACGCTTCTGACCCATTCACAGCATCAAACCCTCCCCCAGGGGAGACAGCTGGGACTCAGCCGTCTTCGACAAACCGCTGCCGGAGGCCCACTGCGGGCTTAGCTCGCACTCCGGAGAGGGCGCTGGGCACACACCACGGCGGGACAACGTTGGCCTGGGACTGTAGGGGAATGGTGGTGTGTTCAGCAAAACAAATGCTGACAAATGACTGCCAGCTTCAAACCATGGCCATTAGGAACCTGCAGCCAACCTTTACTCCTGGGTCATCGGCAGGTTAGCTCAGACTAATAAAAGTGCAGAATTCAGCCAACGGGGGTATGTGAGATAACGTACCGTTGGGCAACAGGTCGACAGGCCTTCTCCTGGCTCGTCACTGCCAGGACCGCCCGCCAGTTTTGCCCCACGGGGAAGGACACCTTTCGATCAGATGTGAATGTGCCGCAGATTCTGGGCCTTGCAGCCTTGTTGGCGACGCAGCGCAGCGATCGCTGTTCCGATGGCTGGATCACACGTGTCTCGTGTCCGGCGACTGCTGCCCAAGCATCAAACAGGGACTCATTCTGTTGGATGGCCCAAGTAAACTGCCACAGCGAAAATCGCAGAACCTAAAACCTGACCTAACTACAAAAGTACTTCATGGAAACAAACATCCTGCAAGAAAACTCACCAAATGTTTTAGGGATTTCGGATGGAGAGAGTTTGGGCGTTTCGTGTGTCTCTGCTTGTGTATAAGGGTAGAAGAGTGGCTCTGATGAAGCATAGAGTTAATCTTTTGGCTTGGGCTGGTTGCTCGTGTTAATTCTTCAACACTTATGTTTGTTTGGTGTACCATGGATTTCCAAGATTGTGCAGAACTTGATCGAATTCACATTGAAAATGTGGCGGCGCTGGCCACTTTAGTGGCAACGTTTCCGTTGGGGTGCTTCCTCCGCTGCAGAGGAAGCATTGCACCAATGAATATAGCGAGTATTTCCTTTGGATTTGCAACACTCAAGCCGATATCTTTACCCTCTTTGTTTGAAAGCAGCTCTGGGACTTGCGCGTTTATGTACTGGAGATGAACTGTGACCATGTGAACAGTCTTGACCACAGCAGAGTATTTGGGAAGTGGGCTGGAGTTGGAAGGTTAGATGCCTTCACTCCGCCATGCAGCATGTTCTTCAGTGTTGGCGAAGTGTTGCTCAGCTCTTTCAAACCCTCGTTACTTCATGTGCGCAAGTTTGTCTCTGGATGCACTTCACGCATGTAGCATTGTGTCTCAGCAATCGAAGGCACCTGATCCATAGAAATTGCGGTCAATAAATAATGACGCGCAACAGCCACAGAGACAGGTGCGTTCATGGCTGGCGAATTATTAGTTGGTTATTGCCCTGCAGTGCATTTTAGGCGAGGAATAAACTGTATAGACCGGTGATTGGGGCCTAGTGCATCCAAATGTCCAGACTTTGTTGACACTTGGCTCTGGCAACTGTCGCATCAGCACCTCTCCTATAACAATGGCAATAGTCCAGGTCTGTCAAATCGGAAAACGCTGAAGAAAGTCAGCCACGACCTGGCCATCGCGACGATCTGCTGACGGACGCTCAAGAAACTTGGTGAACTATCGTTGTCTCATAGAGAAATTTGCACATATTGGACTCCGGGTTATGGGTTATCTTTGGTGCATAAAGTCTTCCTCACAGGTAAATCTCCACAGTTGGCATGGAGCCACAGGGGAAGGAGTTAACGATTTGGTAAAAGCAACCGTGGAGCCCCAGCTTGCATCTTGCCCTTGTTTGTTATCCCGACTCAGCTGTGAGAGTGGAAGGCGAAAAGTGCAATCATAATGGCCAACATCTTCAGCACAGAATGCACTGGCAGGCGCAGGTAGAAACAAGCAATCATCGGGAACTTTCTTGCATCTGAGCTGTCCAAGTCTGAACAGTTGACATCACAAGTAAGCAGTTTCCGATGCAAGGAAGGGCATGTGCTCCGCTGCATTGCTGGTCCCACAAGGGTTTGGCAGTGTTCATGTGCGCACACTGGACAGTTTCAGTGCAAGGCGCGCTACCAGATGTGCTGCGTGGCCTAAGAAACAAGGGCAGAAACGCTAATCCTATCTTTTCCCTTGCATGCCTATCATTTTCATCATGCTGAACGCGTCATTATTTCCTGATATCGAAGAATTTTCTGTTGGGTGTTCTGATGTGACACTGCCCTAATTTTTCAGTTCTATTCTTGTCATGATGTGGAATCTGTACGGGATTCGCCGATGCACGAATAGGCAGCCATGGACTTGTGGTGGCAAAACTCGCCAGGCCTTCGAGTTTCCTTGAAAACCGTATCTCACTCTAGAACGGGTACAAAGTATGGCTTGGCTGGCCGCGGAGGGGATGAAGCCGGATCGAATTAGGGGTGTAACAAATTGGGTTCAAGGGATATATTGTGGACGTGAACATGATGTACGTGTGAAATCGAGGGATGCCACGACTGAGACAGTGGCTGCTTTCTTCTTACTCAGACTCTGAGAAGAGGTTGGCCGTTAGTTCAGCTCTATTCCTCAGTTTCGGCGCGAAATCCGTGAATATCATCCACATTAATGTGGATGATATAGGATAGGATAGGAAATATTTCCTAGTAGGATAGGATAGAAAGATTTCCTAATAGGATAGGATATAGGATAGAAAATATTTCCTAAATGAGCTTGACAAGCTGCGTAGAAAGCCTGTAATCCCCGCCAATCGGCAAGTACGCGAGCAAGCGACGAGGCTGTTGGGTCCATGCGCCGGCAACGTTTAACAGCTCAAAAGAGCACAACAGGCGCTGGCAGGAAATCCAAGGTGCTGGCAAAACATGCAAACTATGCAATCACTGCTAAGTCGCGCTGGAGCACGCGCTATATAAATGCTGCAGCCAGATCTCTTGAACAAGAATATCGCGTTAGATTTTCCAGCACTGGTAGCCCATCTTTTGCAATCGACTATAATATACCAAATAAAACAGTGGGAGGGGAGAAGAGTCTTTCCCTGCTTGAATAAAAGCCTGTGCAACAAGTTTCTCTAAGCGTGAAGACGCCCACTGAAAAATCAAACGCTTGTAGTGCTCATTTTCTTATGGTCGTCGATGATGCATCATGTGTTCGTGACCAATAGGCCAATGATTTTGCATGGACATTCCGTTACATGACACAGACATTTTGTGACGTCGAGTAATTTCATGCGAAAACTGATGAAATTTATTTCCTCACAGGCAAGATCTGATCACTACAGCAGTCTCCAGCACTGCGTCAGCAAACAGCACATTCATTTGAGCCGTGATTGCATCCTTTGAGATGCCCATCTCATTATTCTCATATTTTTATCTCCCTGCATGAGCTGACGGCTACCGTTACGATTACATGCTGATGCTGCCATCTACAAATCCATACTACACCTACTTTCAGCCAGTCTCCATTAAGGGTTTGCACATACAATTGATTTTTCTTCAGTAATTTGCATTGCAAATTTTCAATGATGCTCTGAATTGAATTTATTGGGAGTTTTGGCAGATAAATTTTGGAATTTAACATGATCTGTAACATGTTCGTACATTGTGCTTTTCCCTGAAACCCGTGTTCGATACTCAGCGCTGGTCCTGACAGCGGATGTTTCGATTTTATTGATTTACTTGTATAATACAGCCATTTTCTCATGTGCCTGTCATTCTACCATTTCCATGCGGGACACGTGCTATGAAGGCCTAAAGGCACAGATATCAGTCGCCTCGCTTTTTCCCGGAACTCTCACATTGCTCAACCTGTAATCTGGCCTTGAGGCTAATAAGCATTTGCCGTTGCCGATCCTATTCAACTGCACTGATAATCAATTTATCTTTCAGGCAATGACGTAAAGCGTATTCGCATGTTGTATTGTCGACTCATTATCAGTTGTATGATGCACAATTGGAGCAGGAGGCATCACACAGCAAATTCTGTTTTCAGGCATGTCTGGCCCCAGTTTTTTGTAGGCCAATAAGCCATAGGTCCAAAATCTATACCAATATTCTATGGGAGCGCACAACAAGCAGGATCCCCCTGTAACCTAAAGATCAACCACTGGCAATATTGTCGATGTATTAATTCATATATGTCACCCTCTTTTTATTACTGCTCCTGCAGACTGTAACAGCTGTGCAACTGCTCAGGAATTCCCTACACGGACATAAAAAGTGCTGTGCATGCCATGCTAAGTGCCCAAAGGAATCTGACCAGATGTCGAACAACCAACTTGTTGCTACCATGTCACAAATCTCCACATTTTCTTTTAGTTGGGAGGTGAACTGGCCCCACAAAAGGTGGGCAGCACACCCATTGACCAGCGTTATAGTGTGAATGCATTTCGAAATTCCGTATATGGCAATCAATGCTCGGTAAGCTGCCATGCTGTCAACACCAAGCCCCACCAATGTGGAACCGCACATGCGATTGTATGTGTGTGATGTTGTTGAAATGTGTGTAACCATTCTGCGTTGGTCTTGCGCTCTCATCAGCAGCATTCATTTACATAACAATGCAAGAATGCGCTCTCTCTGGTCCTGCCGCGATGGGAGCCCTGACAAGGCATTTTCTCTGGCGAAGAACGGTCCCGATAGCTGGCCATAGTGGCCCCGACCCGTTGCGATTCTCGATAGATTGGTCGATTGATGGCGGGACTGCACTCTGCAATGACTTGCGCCGGAGCCCGTCCCACGAGCACCCGGCACGGCACCCGCAGTGCGTGGTACTGCAGTGCATTGCCAAGTCCTTCATCGGAAGAGCAACTGCAAAACCCCCTTATTCCCTCACTTGCGTGCCGCCCGGGCCGTTCCCGCGCCAAGGCCCGCGGCACCGAGCCATCGGAGGGCGCGCGGAGCCGCACCGTTGGAGAACCGCCACCTGACCGCCGCCTCTGCACCCTCATCGAAGTGGAACAGATTTTCTCACACCGGCGCATCGGAGCACTGCGACTGTCGAGAATTGGCACCCGTGGCGGAGTTGTGCGATACCTCGACCGAAAAACTCGCGCAAGAACGGAGTGGGCCGTGCGGTGGGGAGGGAAGGAAGCCGTGGAAGGGTGGTTCGTTGCGGGCGGCCGTGTCTTGCGCGACGGTGGACGAGATGGCACCGATGGGGACTCGGTGGCCAAACGGGAATGGGCGCGCGAGGGCTGTTGTGATGCTCACGGTGGCCTTGATGGCCCTGATGTGGGCTGTTGGCGCTTCTGGAGAGCAGCTTGACATCTTGATGCCGCCGCACAAGACGACGCGGGAGGACACGTACCTGTGCACCAGCGTGCGCGTGCCGGGCACCAGAGGCTACAAGCTCACCGCCGTGGAGCCCCACACGGAAATGAAGATCGCGCACCACATGCTGCTGTTCGGTGAGTCTGGGGCTGGGCTCTCTTGAGCTTGCAATGCGCATATTGTTGGGAACATCTCTTCAGCTGGAGTGCCTCCTGGCCTGTCCGTTTATAGCTCAGCATCATCACAGGCAGTGGCCTTGGGTGTCAAAGGTGTCTTCCTGGGGAAAATGGGTACATTTCATAGAGATCCAGGATGTGTGACGGAGTGACGATGGATCGTGCTGCAGTGCTTCGAGAAGTGCTGGAGATAGTTTGACTGTCCTTGTTGGCCAGAAGAACTTCTTATGCGGTTTCTGTGTAGCTGGAGAACACAGCGTGCAACATTCCACTTTGTACCTGGGGTTGTATAGCAAAGGGTGCACTCACAGGGTACTCATTGCATTAACAATGGTGGTTGTGCTTGATGGAAGGTTTGGTTTAAACATGTCAGGGCAATTCATGCTGCACTGCTTGCAACAGTGCTGACACGCAGTCAATCGCAGTGACCTTCCCCACTCTACTGTACACTAGGCAAGGGCTACAATGGAGAGATGGCCAGCTTGGAAAAGTGTGTTGCTGGCTGTGGCGAAACGGAAGCATCTTTCAGATGCTGCACTGTTATTGGTTATAATGAATCTCCGGACCTTTGTTGGGGAAAGTTTGCTGTTGATTGGACACAGGGCTAAATGGGATTTTCTGCTGTAACATGGTGCAGAATTTGTGGAGTGTCTTGAAACATCGGATTAAGGGGTGTATTCTTGATTGTGGTTCATCGCAGGTTGCCATGGGGAGCCGAATAACCCTCAAGATGTTGAGCGTGATGGTGTGTGGGAATGCCACCATGTTACAGCCTGCAAGGGGGAACAGGAGGCCGTCCTGTGAGTGAACGCGGCACCATTGATAGGACAACCAAGAACAACTAAATTTAAAGCAGAATGGAACAATGGTCCTCCAACTGTCCAGAGATTGTTTTGTGCCTTTGAAGCTTTGAAGTTTCTTGCACCTTTGAGATATATATCTCTTGCACCTTGCACTTGCACATTTGAGTGCCTGCCCTTCATATATTCAAAGGAGCTTTGGCATCGGGCAGCTGACTTGCATCGTTTGTGCTGATGTAACTATGCACCAAATGGAGCTGTTTCACCTTCCAAACAGTTTCTTTTCCCATTCCACTACTTGGGAAACTCCCCGATTTGCGCCTGCTGAGCTGTCCTACAGTGTCTTTTTTTTGTCTTTTCTTCTGCTTCCGTTCATCGTTGAATGTGTTCGTTGACACTGGTGAATCGCACCCAGGCAGCTGAAATGGTGACGAAGTTCACAGTGTTTATCTGTCCAAATTGGTACTTTGCCCTGCAAACCTGAACCAAGCAGACTGTGCAGCAATTGAACCCGTGTTCAGTGTATCAAGTGCACAACAGCACCACATCGATTGTGTCTGCACCATGATTTGAAGTTCTGTCTGTGTGGTGCAAAGGTATGGATGGGGCAGGAACGCCCCAAAACTTGAACTTCCTGATGGAGTGGGCTTTTCAGTAGGTGGCGAGGGGGGACTCAATCATCTAGTCTTGCAGGTAAGTTGAGGATTTAACTACAAAATCGGCTGTCAACGTTGAAGCTGCATTCATGAGTTCAACGCACTGTAAACACAACATGCACAAGCTAATCTTGGTGGTGGTGAGGAGGGAGATAGGTTGTGACCAAGTATGGCCAAGATACTTGGTTTCCAATCTGGCAATTTCTGGTTCAGTCTGCTAAGCTATGAGTCTTGTGTATCTGACAGTGGATTGCTGAATGCTTATGGAAATTCCGCGAATGCCAGTCGTTGATTAAATTTTCCCCTTTGGGCAAGCGTTGACGCCTACACAGGAATTAACCGTAGAACCGTAGAATTGTCATTCATTGCAGGTCAGTGCAACCAGACATGCAGCTCTTCCCTGATTTTTGTCCCTGATGCCCTCATTTCCTTTGATGTTTGTTTCTTTGCTGTGTGTGCTCAGGTGCATTACTTGCAAGTAAGACCTCCAGATGACCACTCTGGTGTTTCATTGACGTGAGTGTTTCCAGTTGCTGGTGAAAACATGCGCATGCATGCCCTCAGCAACACACAATCAGCAGACAGAACTGCTCAAGTGGGATTTTCGTCTCAGCAAGCATGTTTGCTTATGTTCTTGGCTCACATCTTCTGCAGCAGCCAGAGTAGCATGTGCAAAGCAACTCTAGGCACCAACGTTTTCAGCTGGTGCATAAGTGCTGTTTGCTTCTTGTTTATCAGTTGGGTATCTTGCTCATTTTACTCATTGCTACTGGGAGATGATGTGTGAATGGGCAGGGTGCCAAAGAGTTGAACCGACACAGTGATGTGAGATGCAGACGAGTAGCATAGGTTATTGTGTCACTGTAGAGAAGAAAGGCACAATGATGTGGACTATGTCCCACTGCAAACCACGTGGCTTTGTGCCTCACGGAAAGTCTGTGTCACCACAGTCACAGGTCCACTCCCATTGCAGCAATCATCAGGAGTACAAAGCTCTGCATCTAATGCAATTGCTGTTCGAATGTCTTACCCCTTGAGACAACGCCTTTTGTGCATTGCTGTAGTGTGAGTTTGAGATCCTACTGTGCTGAACAGGCTGAGCACAGAGGCATACAAATACTCTGCTGGCATGATGGCATACGCCATCAACTTCAAGGTTCCCCCCGGCAAGCCATCCCACCTGATCAACAATACATGCTGCTACAGTGGATTGGAGCCTGTGAGAACTGTGGCGTTCCGTGTCCACACACACTGGCTGGGAAGGTACAGTGGGTGGCTTGAATCGTTGATTGTGTTTAAAGAGGCAGGCAAATTAATGCAGGTTTGTGAATTCTGCTGCTAGGGTCTCCTGTGTGGAATTTGCAGTTTAACATTGTTTAAAATAGTAGGGGATGGCACAAATCTCTTCTGTTATGGGAGAGACCATACCTAGAGTCTTGAATGTGATGCAATGTTTGGCATAAAAAGAATAGCGAGTAGTTAGGGTACTTGATTATTTTGCGTGCGAGAGCTATGCAATCTGGATGTGAGGCACACGGTGTACTTCGTGTGTCCACGTGGTTGAAAAGTAGTGATAACATTTTGGCAGGACGCAACCTGGAATCCAATGCAGTACCATATTTGACATAGATGTATTGTGCAAGACGACCTTTATGATCTGGGTTGTGTGCCTGGCTGCAGCTGTGGGCAACAATGTGCCAGGCGCTGACCAGCTATGCCCATTGTCATAACCCCATGAGTAATGCAACAACACATACTTCTGCTTGCCCTCGCAACTGTCTTAACTTCACGTCATTCTGCACATCCTAATGTTGTTGTGCTGCTTGTTATTCTGCTTTAGTCTTCTTGCTTT